TTTGGACCTAAGTAGCAACACCCTGTGTGGTCATGCTGGAGAATAGACTGCCGATTGTGCCAAATTATATGATGCTTTTGAGATGTGCGCAAATAGCCCATTACACTTTCACAGTGTTCCTTCATTAAGCCTGCAGAATTGTTTCTTTATGTTTTCCTCATAATAGCTTCTGAAAGGTCAAGAATTGCTTACTTGACTTTCTGGTGCCCTTCGGGGAATAATGCCGTTAACCATTTGTGGCTTTTGTTTGTCCAAGCTGATATTTGCTCCAAGGTCTCGCAATGGTTGTCAAGAATGGGTCTCCCCTCTCTCCCAAAACACACAACACACACACACAACACACACACACACACACTCACACACGCTTGGTTGGGGATAGGAAATAGAAAGAGTATCCTGGAATCTCTGCCAGTGGAGATTTTGTTTGAGTTTCTGATAGAGTTGATGTTTAGCCCTAGTAGCATTTGGAAAGCAGTAGTGTGGTGGTTTTAAGAGTGAATCAGACAACCTGAGTTCAAATCCAGATCTACTTCTATGAGGCAAGTCATCTCAGCTCTCAAGGCCCAATTTCCAAATGTATAAAATGGGGATAATGGTAGTACCTCCACAGAAGGTGCTTTCCTGGAGTAGAGTAAGCATTAAAATATCTAATCAAAACAAAACCAGCTAGCTTTGGAAGCCTGCTGAGGGCAGGCCTTGAGTGGCAGCATACACACCCTTCCGTTGCCAACCCAATGGCTCACTCCCAGTCCTCAGTGAGGTCTGTAAGGAGGCAGTAATGTGTATCACATATGTCTCTCATGTAACTCTTTATACAATCTTGTAAAATAGGTGTTATTACCATATTAAGCATGAAGAAACTGCTACTGTGGGCTAATGATAATGACTACCATTTGTTGAGTGTTTACTATGTGCAAGGCAATATCTAAGATACCTACTTCTACGTACTTTCTTGTCAAAGGGCCTTTCAGTCATTTCCAGTTTTTTTGCAGTTATGAAGAGCGCTACCATGGACCTTCTTGAACGTGTCTTCATGGGCCCATGAACAGGATTTTCTCTTGGGAACACACACTCAGGAGCAGAACTTTTGGGTTGTAAGAATGTGAACGTTCAACATTACCAGGTAATAGGAAAATATTTTCCAAAGCGACTGGAATAGTTTCTACTCCCTCCAGAATGGGTAAGCTTCCTGTTGAGCCACATGCTCTCCTATGTTGGAATTCTTATTTTTCCTAAGCGACTATGTATAAAATGCTATTTTGGCCTTGATCTCTATTTCTCTGATTACTAATGAGGTTGATAATCTCTTTTTATATTAATTGACCATAAATGTCTCCTTTTCTGTGAAATGTCTGTTCATGTCCTTTGCCTGTTTTTCTATTGAATTGTTTGCTTTCTCTTATTGATTTGTAGAATTCCTTGATAATTTTTTTATACTAATCTGTTGGTGGTTGTAATAGTTAATTTTACGTGCCAACTTGACTAGGCTAAATGAAGCTCAGATAGCTGGTAAAATATTATTTCTGGGTGTGTCTTTGAGGGTGTTTCTGGAAGAGATTAGCATTTGAATTCAAAGACTGAGTAAAGCTCACCCTCATTGGGTGGATGGGCATCATCCCACCCTTTGAGGACCTGAATAAAACAAAAAGGTGGGAGAAGGGCAAATTTGCTCTCTGCTCGAGTTGGGACGTCTATCTTTTCCTGCCCTCAGACATCTGTGCTCCTGGTTCTCAGGCTTTCAGGCTTGGACTGAATTACATCACCAGCTTTCCTGAGTCTCCAGCTTGCAGAGGGCAGATTGTGAAACTTCTTAGCCTCCATAATCACATGAGCCCATTCCTATAATAAAGCTCTTCACATATATACATATCTCCTTCCTATTGGAGAACTGTGACTAACACAGTGGTTGTATCGTTGCAAATATTTTCTCCCTGCTATGACTTGTCTTTGCACTTTCTTTGGGCTGTTCTTAGCATAAGTTCTTAGTTTGAATGGAGTTGAATTTATCAATCTTTTCTTTATTGATTAGTATTCTTTGTATCTTGATTGAGAATTTCTATCAATCTTCTTTATTTCCTTCTGGCATTTAAATCCTTATTCTATCTGTAATTGACTTTTGAGTATGATTTGAGTTAGGGATCCAAAATCATATTTTTCTGTTATGGGCAACAGTTTTATTACAGCTCAATTTATTGAATTATTTCCCCACCCTCCCTACTGTTGCCATATGACCTCTCTCATATATCAAATTTCCATATGTATTTCTGGGCTCCCTATCCCGTTCTGTTGGTCAATTTGTCTATTCCTGAACCAATAAACATGGTTACTATGACTTTAATAAATCTCATTATCTTGTGGAACAATTTCCATTCTTTTTCTTCTTATTATAAAGTTTTTAAATATCCACTTTAGATAATTGAAAAAGTATAGAAAATTCCAGAGAAATTAGAATTTATTTATAATTTCATCATTCAAGTACAACAGTTAACTTTTCGTGTATACATTTCTGCAACATACAACGCACACTCATATGAAAACATACATATTTATATGTATATAAATATTCATACACATTCATACTTTAACAAATTTAAAATTAATATTGATTGCTTCCTATATTCAAGCCTCTATGTTTAAAGCTTTATTGTTGCCAAAGCTGAGAGACAATATTTAGGAAATATGATAATGTTTAAGATGCTAATAATAATGTTGGGAGGAAATTTGTTTTCAATTTGGCAGCTAATATCATTCCCCTTTAGGTACCTTAGTCCAGGAAAGCATTTATTTTGAATCCCTAAGCTTTACTACTGCCCTAAACCAAGAAAACAAATCTCTCTCCATCCCTTAGGTAACACACTTATCCTCCAAGCAAACCACTAGCTGCTTGTTTAATGAAACAAGAAAACACGGTGTATTACATTTTTAAAGATCTATACCTTGGCCTTAAGATCAGATTTGTGTTTGAGACCTCAACCTGCCACTTATTACCTTTTTGACCTTAGACAAGTCACAGAACATCTTGGAGTCTCAGTTTCTTCATCTTTAAAATGACAATAATTTCTACCTTGCATAGTTACTAGGAGTTTTAGTATATTTTTAAAAAGCCTCATAAAATGCTTTCCCATATTTGCTTTTGAATTTTGAATCCATTTTTATTTTATTATAAAAGTCGTATGATCTTCTTGTAAAATTTTTGAACAGTATGGAAGGGTTTTAGTGAAAACTAGAAATCCCTTCCCTCTAAATGTACCCTGTTCTTCCCCCCAATCAATTTCACTCTCCTGAAGAAACAACAGTAAATTTTCAGGACACAGTATTATTAAGAACATTCTAAGCATCCATGATAGGTAAAAATCTTTGAGATCCTGTATAAACATCACATAACAGGTAAGCTCAAAATGCCTGGAAGATTTTGTTCATTAAGACAGCTTTTTAAAATAAAGTTTTCCTATTTTCAAACAACTTAAAAAACAAACAAAAATATTCAAATTAAGAAGGTAATTAGACACTGTTTTAAAACTAACAGTAAATATTTGGTTTTGGGTATTTATTGTTTTTAAAAATTTTGCTATAATGGTAATGCATTCTTAAAGAAATGTCAAACAATTGTTAGGTGTGTAAAGTAAAAAATGAAATTTCCTCTTCACACTTCCCCAATCCTACTCCCCAGAAATAACCACTGGAAACAGTTTTGATGTCTTAACTTTCACATTTTTTACCCACAAGACTTGCAAATGTTTCAGCTTAATTGAGTGGCTTCACTTTTTTCATGATAATATTAATTTTGCTTTAGTTTCCTTGGTGCTGCATTCATTCATCTGTTCATTCCTTCATTCCTTCATTAAGCACACGCCAGGTACCTGCTCTGGGCCAGGTACTAAGCAAGGTGCTGGAGACTCTTAAAACGCCAGGTCCAGTGCTCTCATCCTTAATAGACAATTATAATACTGTGTCATAAGTGTTTCACTATAGTCAGTTAGGGCAGGATACTGTGGGACCATACCGGAAGGACATCAAACCCAAATAATCTGGGAAGCCTTCTGAGAGGAAGTGATTTCTTCATTGAGGACTAAAGCTGAGTAGGCATTAGGCTGATGCAACAACCAGAGCTATGAGATGATAGCAAATTGGGGGATGATGAGAAGCTAGAATAAGAAGTGCTCCTAAAATATAGGAGTGAGGGCTTAGGATGTTGGAGAGAGATAAATGAGGCTGGAAGGGGTTGTATCATGCAGGCTTTGCAAGACGTGCTATGGCTTATGCACACTGAGGGCAGATGGGATCCATGAAAGGATTGCAAGTAGGGAAGTGACATCACTATATTTGTATTTTAGAAGTCTCTATCTGCCTGCAATAGGGAGGAAGCACTGGAGAGGGGCGAGCCAAGAGGCAGGGGCAATAGGAGATGGTGGTAATAACCCAAGTGAGAAATGATGGTGGTCTGGATTAAGGAAGCGACAGTAGGGGTGGGAGAAGGAGACAGACTCAAGAATAGCGGAAGTCTTTTCTATTCAAGGATAAGTGACACCTGGGAGAGGTCACTGAAAGTAAAGCCATTTAACACAGGGACCAATTTTTCACGTAAACAGTGAGGGCAAAAAACTTGACAGAGACTCTAACTTGAAAAATTAAACCGAAATTGGTTTTTAAATCCCTGTTTTAATATTATAAATAGTTATTTAAGTTATAATCACAATTATGAACTGATGTTTGAGATGAAGGATAAATCAGGAGTTTGGGAGGCATAACTTTCAATCTGAAGTTTATGGTAGTATGATAATGACACCTTTCACTTCATGCTGAAGTTCTGCAGCCAGTTCATAGCAAAGATCATTTTGGGGTAAATAACTGGTCTTTGTCAATTTTCCCAAAGGTATCTTCTTTTGAGAATCAGATCATTTTCTTTTTGAAGTACTATTATGTCATCCCCCTTATGTTTTTTTTAAATTGAGGTATAATTGACATATTAGTTTCAGGTGTACAGCATAATGATTCAATATTTGTATACATTGCAAAGTGATCACCTTAATAAGTGTAGTTAACATCTGTCACCATACGTAGTTACAGAATTTTTCTTACGCTGAGAAGTTTTAGGATCTACTCTTTTAACAACTTTCTTATATATCATACAGCAGTGTTAACTGTAGCCACTACGTTGTACATTACATCCCCGTGATGCCTCTATTTTATAACTGGAAATTTGTACCTTTTGACCCCCTTCACACATTTTGCCCATTTGCTTCTTTTTTTGTGGGGTCTGTTGACTAGTTTAACTGGCAGATTTGTCATTTGTTAAAGGCTTTGCCTGTACTTGGAGCACTTCTCTGAGATCACTTTTATTGGCTTCATGAAATGATGTAACCTGTAGAAGATTTGCAATTTGTCTTAGCAGTTGACTTGTTTTGAATTCAGAATTTAATATGGATGTTTGTAATTGGCAAGGAATATTTAAGTGAAGGGTAATATTATAAATGTTGAGTTCATTAGTAAATATTTTTTGTTGTGATAACTTTTACTGTTTTACTTTTCTAAGCAACCTGTTGCCTCTGGGGACTTGCGGACTGAGTACTTGGATAATGAGAATATCCTATCGTTAGTTGTCACCCACTCACCAGAGTCATGCCCTAACAGGGAAATGTGGAACAAAGCTCTCCTCAGGGAGAAGGGAAACGGATAACGTGTCATCTTCTAGGACTCAATCCTTTGTGTACATCAAAGATGAAACAGAAGAGAACATGAAATGCCTTCTTCAAATTTCTCTTCCATCCTTGCTCAGCTGAAGGTATTTTCTCAGCAGTGCTCACATGAAAGGGCACAAGATTTGCTGGAAGGATCTCTGTCACTCTCTGGAAGGAAGCCCATATCTCATTACCAGTAAGAGAGCATCATCTTACCCACTCATGTTTTCTGAAGGAAAAAAATAACTTTTTCTACTTCCTCAATGGGAACATAATGTTCTCTCCACCCACTCCCCAGACCCCCTCTCCATCCTCAGCCAAAGGATCCAAGGAGATCTTGAACTATGTTAATGTCTTCATCCTCATAAAGATTTAATTTACTGGGTTCTGGGCATTGATCCTGAGTTTAATCCACTGTTAAAATATTTTGATTGATGGTGCCTTGATGGGTCACCTAACTATCTAATTCTGCCTCTTCTTCCTTTTTTTCTTGATTTTCTCTCATGAATAGATATTGAGGACTGTTGTGTGCCAGGCACTATGCTGGGTGCTGGGGTTCCAATGCCGACATCCTCTCAGTACAATGGAAGCATCATAAGGGAGTGACTGGGTCTGATTTATGTTGATTGGGAATATTTCTCTCCCTTTGAAACTTATTCCTGCCTTGTAAGGCACAACTTGTACATCAGTAGTGGTTTTCATAGAAAAGTTTAAGGAATGTTAGCCCTTGCCGGACATTTTATTTCACCTGTGCTGTTCGACTTCTCATTTACTGTCCTTTGTTTGACGGGGATCTTTGTGAGCATCAGCAGTTCCCAGGAGTAGGCGCTCAGATTAGAGCTGCAGAAGTGACTCTGAAACCATGGTCCTGCGTGCCGAGTCCCAGCAGCTTTGGAGGCAACTGGGGCTCAGTCTATGCCTAGAAACAGCTCAGGGGATTGTATATCACACCACGACACTCCTTCTTCCAAAAGCAATCCCCAACACCCAGAGCTTTTCGACCCTCTCCTCTGCTCACCACTTTCCCTCTCCGGTCTTTTCTTACCTAGGCCACAGGCGTGTTAGTCCAGTCTTCTCTGCTCCTGGATCTTTCCCTTCCTCTCACGCATGTATCTCTATTTCTTCAGGAAAGCAATTTAGCTCTGACCTGCATGCTCCAGTCTTGCATCCCCACTCCCAACACTTAACAAGATGATCTTCAAGTAAGTTAAAATGATAACAAAACTCAAAATCCTTGCACCACAGACAGTGACCTTATGGATAGCCAACAAAAGATGCTTCAGTTTGCAACCGTGGCCCTAGTGTCTTCTCTGCATCCACTCAATCATTCATTCATTCACTGATATTGTGTAGTGGGATCATTCCTCTAGAAGCAGAGCTGGAAACAAGGGCTTGGGAGCAGGGAATGTATTTGGGAGTTGACCTTAGGAAGCAGGAGTGACGGAGTGAGAACAGTGAGCCTGGCACGGAGAAAAAGCCGGTAAAGGTACATTATTGAGCTGGTGATTGCTGTGGACACCTGGGGCCCAATCTCGAGGGGACTCTCCAAGGAATCGTGTAGAACGTCCCTCAGACCTGTCCTTCTGTAGGATGGTGGCAGGGGGGTACATTTATCCACCAACTCCCAACCTTCTCCGGTGGAAGGTTGCTCTTAGGGGTCGTCACACCCCCACCTTCTGGGCGGCCCCTTCCTTGGCTGAGCTGAACAAGCTACTGCAGAAGGAAGCTGTCAGCAGGCGTGGAACTGTCCACCACAGCTGCGGCTGAAGTCAGAGAAGGGCTGAGCGCACTCAGCCTGGGGCCCCAACAGTGGCTGCTACAAAGAACATTCATCACAGTTGTATTGTACTCATTCCTTCTTGCTTGCTTTCTCCCATGGAATAGTGAATTTCGCATGGACAAGCACGGGAGCTTCTTCTTGTTTCCCCAGTGCCTAGCACAGTGCCAGACTCGGGGGAGCCCTTCAGGTCTCATTTGCTGAATGAAGAAGGAACTAACGAAAGAACAATGAACTGAAACCAGAAACCTGAGTTCTAGTCCCCACTGGGTCACTAATTTCTGTGTGACCTTGATTAAATCAAAACCTTGCATATAGGGGTCTGGTTACTTAGGAACTTACAAATTTGTATTTTTTAAAAAAAATCTCAATATCAAAGCATTACTGTACAAGGAGAAAATTTCCATCAGTGACTGAGCTCAGAATAAAACATTTTTCTCTAACTTCGTGGCTCTCTCTAATTCTAGGTTTGGATCACTCCGAGGTGTAAGACGAACACTGTTGAAGCAGTAAGAGCGTGTTACAAAGGTAGTTACCCGAGAAGCATTTCGTTTTCTTCATGATACATGGCTTGGAAAACCTTCACTAACACTCGCAAGTGAAGAGCGATAGGATGCTAATTTCCCACAGATTCATTATCACCATGAAATGAAATTTTGGAACACATCAGAGGTAAATACAACATGCAAATGTAGAATTCAACAATTCGAGTTTTACCTGCCTCATGTTTTTACACCTCTGTCAACAAGACCCTCATTAAAGACTTTTTCCCATCATTTTACTTGAAAAGAAAACTGAAGAGAATATTATAATATTCAGGGTGGAGAGAGGTTTTTTTCCAGTTAACCCTTTATGGAGGGTATATATTCCTGATTATTTTTGATCTGATCATAAATATGTATCGTGCTTGGTACTGCGCTGGCTGTTGGGGATGCAATCTTGAAGAAGCTCACCCCCTTGTGGAGCTTATTGTCTGGTAGGAAAGGACTATGTTAATTATTTTAAATGAGTATCAAATTACATTCTGAAATAAACACTTCTGAGAAGGAAATGTAATTTTATTAGAGCAAAATACAGTGGAGATCATACAATCTGGAAGGTTAAAGAAGGTTTCCCCCTGAAAGTGGGATTTGAGTAGAAAGCTGAAGAAAGAATAAATAAGTGAAAGGGAGGACAGTATGTGCAAAGGTCCAGTGGCATGAACAACAGGATACTGTGGGAGAACTGAAAAAGGCCAGGGGAGCTGGCTTACCCTGAAGGAGGAGGAGTGTGATGTGAGTGAAGCTGGAGAGGTGAGCACAGATCAGAAGAGGCAGATCTCTTGAGCAGGCTAAAGATTCTGGTCTAAAAATGATGGGAAGTCATCGAACAGTTTCAGCAATACCTGGTGATGTAATCAGATCTGCACATTTTTAAAAGAGGATTTGTTTTCACATTCTTTTATATTTTCCTTGATTGTATGAGCAATTCAAGCAAAAATATTTGTTTTTGCCTGAATAATGCTGATAATTGCAGATACGCGTGTGCACGTGCGTGCACACATACACACACACACACACACACACACACAGTTTTTCCAAAAGATGTCAGTCCAATTTGCTGCAGTGTTAGCAATATCTCTCACTCTCATTTGGGTAACATTTAATTTGTACTTCTGGGCACTGACTGCATTTAGCCGATAACTAAATTCCATGCTGGGGTGTCATGGGGAATAAATAGAGTCCCATCCCCACATATTAAGTGTGCAAGTGAAATCACTCTTCTTTTTTGGAACGAGTGAGAACAATGGCCATTGCATCAACGAGATGGGATGAAACGAATTGTCTGGTGGTATCTGCAGGGCCTCCCTAAACTATGTCTATAACATCCATTACCTTCCCCAAATTTCTTAGCATATCCAAAAATGGATTAAGTTGCTTTGACAGGCTCTGTTTTTTATGAAGCTCTTTGGCTATTACTTACCATGTTATTTTCCTCAAGGTGCTCATGGACTGATTTATGATTTCATTTAAGGTTTTGACTGGTAGTTTGGATACGCTAACTAGCCTACCTTTTCCCGGATCTGCTTTGGCTGCTTTATCTCCAAGACTAAATCAGCCTGCTTAAATTTCCCTGGTACATAAGTCTCCACGACAAACACTAGTGTTGGAGGTATGTTCTGCCTTAGCCGGTTCGTTGAGTATGTTCAAATGAATCTCATCCAGCTCTGCTGATTTATAAATATTTAAATTGTATAAGTATTCTTTTACCTGCCTCTTATTAATTCTGTTTCTTGATATTCCCAGAGACTCATTAATATTTATCTTACCGAGCTCCTGCTTCCTTCATTCTTTGTGTTAAAGGCAGAGACGAAATAGTGGTTCTGAATTCGGTCTTCTTTGCATCTTTCATAATATGTTCTCGTCCCTGGTTTAGCAAAAGTAGCCTTTGTTTTCTTGGGCATAACATTGTATCGTATTTTTAGAAGGCTTTGCCATAATTTCTTGCTCCTTCGCTTCTCTTATTCTCTCCTTTCAGCCATCTCCTGCAATTATATTTTCTTCATATTGTGTATTCTTTTCTCCAAACTCTATACAATTGGATTTTTGCTTTTCTTCCCCCAAAAGGAAACATTTATGCTTTAAGCCTCATATAGCAGAATATGCTTGTTAGTTCTATAATAGTGCCCACCAGCCACTTGTGTGTTCTTTTTCTTGAGGATGTACTTGAATGCCCACACCCATGTTTTTCTTCTCAATAGAACAACACAAGTAGTAATCATTTAGTTCCTGAAAGATGGTTGGACGCAGTCCATTAATTTCAGAGCATGTCCAGAAAATTGATCTGAAACAAACAGCAAGTAAATATGAAACCAAGACAAGGGATTTCCAATTACAAGTAAAACATAATAATATGAAGGGGAAGAGTCCAGGAATATACCTCATCAGAAACACATTGGAAATTTTAATGTGTTTTCAAAAGAGCACGCATTGTTTATCACAATAAAAAAAAAGTACACACTGTACCATTACGTTTATGTGAATTTAAAGAATAGGCAAACTGAACTGTGGCGATAAATGTCAGAATAGTAGCTACCTCTGGAAAGGGCCTGAGGATGCCAGAATTGTTCCATATCCTGATCTGAGTGGTGGGCACATGAATGTGTACATATGGATATGTGTAAAAGTTGATCATGCTGAACACTTGGGATTAGTGCCCTTAGAAAAATTGGCACTCTCTACTGTGTGTGTTATACCTTAATAAAAAAGTAAAACAAAACAAAACAATTAACATGTTTACAAAGCCAGTTGCTAAAAGCTGTAATAAATACCTGCGGTAGCTATGGACTATGTCTGAGGTGATCTGAAATACGATTTTTTTAAAGTTGGTGTATATCCACATATGTTTGGCTGTTGGACACACTTTCCTGCTCAAGAGGCTGGTGGAAGGAGAATGATCAAGGCCACCATTTCCTGAGCGCCTGCAATGTGACAGGCATTGTGCTCACAGTTTGTCATCTCAGTAAACGGATGGTGATGCTTTTCTCATTTTCCAGATGAGGACGTAGAGCCAGAAAGATCTTAAGTAGTAGCCAAAAAGCGCATAGCTAAAGAGAAGAAATTAGGTATCCTAGGTGGTCATGGGTTAGTGTTTTCTTACTCTTTTTTACTATAGGTATGGTACTCTGCTATGTGCAGTTTTAAATATTCCTTTCTCTTGTTTTAGGAAGTAAGTGAATGTAGATACATTGAAATGAGTTATAAATAATATTAGCTGATGTTTGTTTGGTAAACCTGGTCTTACCCCAAAGCAACACCTTAAATTAGCACAGGAAGTTTGTGAGATTCAGATCTTTCTTTTTCTCATTTTACAGATGAGGATGCTAAGATTCATTAAAAGGTCGGATGGGGCCAACTCCGTGGCAGAGTAGTGAAGTTTGCGTGCTCCACTTTGATGGCCCAGGGTTTTGCTGGTTAGGATCTGAGTGTGGCCATGGCACCGCTTGTCAGGCGGTGCTGAGGCGGCATCCCTTATGGCACAACCAGAGGCACTCACAACTAGAATATACAACTATGTACTGGAGGGCTTTGGGGAGAAGAGGAAGAAAAAAAGAAAGAAAGAAAGAAAAGATTGGCAACAGATGTTAGCACAGGTGTCAATCTTTAACAAAAAAAATCGAATAGCTTGTAATTTTCAAACTCTGGTAGTCTGACTTCAGAGCGCACACCATTTACAGTCTATTATTCTGCGTTTTAATGATTTTTGAAGAATATAAGTAAAAGAAGAAATAGACTGATCAATTTTTTAAAATCTGTAAACAATTTACAAGAACAATGGACATGAGTAGAAGACGTATTTGTCAGATTTGCATCCATTATTAAGATGAATTTGAGAAACAATATTGGTTTATTGGATCTTTCCTGCTGTTTAGAAAGCTTATGAGTTGCGAATTCAATGATTGCATGGTATTAGGCATTTTTGCAAGAGGTTGTGCAATTGGTGCCAGTCCTTCCAGGACTGGTTGAAAGCCGAGGTTCCCAGCTCTGCCCGTCATCTATCTATGGACTTGTCATTTAAGAAGACAGCTCCAAGATATCCATTCCTCTCTCTTGGTTTGCTTTAATGGCTATTTCTGGCACTTCTCTAGCTGTCCTGGCTCATTTCACTTTAGTTCTGTTATTTTAAAGGTATTTTCTTATGTGTAGTAAAATCTATTTATATATTTAGGGTCCAACATTATCTCTATGGAGAGTCATCTTATGTGGATGCTTTTGATCTCAAAAGAATTTTTGTACAACTCATATACTTTCAGAGCATCATATTCTCCTGTTACCCAATTACCACGTCTTTATTTTTTGCCATTTCTCTCCCTATAGATTTGAAGTTTTTTATCATAAAGAACTCCCACCCCCGCTTTTTATTTCTAACAGAAAATTTGCAAGAATAGCACAACAATCGACTTTATACTCCTCACCTAAATTCAATTGATAAAATCTTGCCACATTTGCTTTCTTTATCTTTCTCTATATACGTATATGTATATAAATGAGTGTATGCACATGTGTGTATAATGTATATACACAATTTTTCGGAACCATTTGAGAATTAGTTGCAGACATCGTAACAAATATTTCAACAATCATCTCTTGAGAACAAGAAAATTCTTTTACATAACCACCATACAATGAGTGTATTTGGGGCATTTAACCTTAATTTAAGATCATCTAATATTCTATCCATATTCAAATTTCTCCAATTGTTCTGATCATGTTCTTTATAACTCCTCCCCCCCCCCACCCCGAACCTAGGATTCAATTGAAGATCCCACATTGTATTTAGTTATACTTCTGTGGTTTTCTCGTTTCCTTTAATCTAGAGCAAATCTTCAGACTTTTTAGTGTTCCATAAATAAAAGTCTTTGTTTTAAACATCTTCACCTAGAGTTAAACAAGTTCCAAGCTTGGTTCTAGGTACAACTACTCATCAAATACCTAATTTGTTTCATAGGTTATTCCTTTTGAGCTCTGCAAAAGTGAAACATTAAAATAATTCTTACGCACTCTGGAAAAGATGAAAATAACTTTAAAATACACCTTAGGACTTCAAGGATTCTCTGTTGTTTACCCAATAATCACGTTAGCTAGACTGAAGGACACAGAGCAGAGAGAGCTTCCATTTCAGCCTTTAAGATGCTCAGTTTCTAACCACAGATGGATGTAAAGTCACTTTCAGGTTATAGATGATTTTGGTGTTTTGTGCCAGTCTGTGTTTTAGAAGGAAAGCAAAGTTCCAACCAGTCATTTTTTATTGCTAAAGTCTGCTGAACTGTTGGAAATCATGGACACCACGAATGGCATGCTGAGGAGGAAAACAAATTGAAATGCAAAGTGTGACTAATAATAAAATATTATTCTTGTAGCGAACATTTCTATCATCATTGTATGCAGTTTCCTTTGATAACAGAATGAGTCTTCTGAGAAAGCAACTTGGGGCTTCCTTGCAAAGCAAGGAAATAAGCAATTGTTCAATGACTAAAAGGACAGTTGTGTGAGAAGTTGCCATAACAACATGATGAGGCTGTCCGTGTGCCTTAATTTCAGTCACATTGAAATGGGTTGACATCATGTTTTAAAATGTGAGTCAGTATTTTAGGGGTTTTGAAGAAAAGGTGTAAATATGAATGGTATGAGCCGAGTTCTCTTCTGAGTGCAAGTCTGCCAGTAGGAGAGTTTCCAGTTTACTCTCCTCATTTCTCCATCAAACAGAAGTACTTTTCTATGAAGTGGAGCTTAAATGTTGTTTCTGGAAATCTACTTTCACTGCACAGAGAATTTGATAAACTATCAGATTACACATTGCCATTAAGCAAATCAATAATGGGTCTATCATCCATTAACAAATTAGTAGGAAATCGGAGTGTTGAAGGCAGTGCCAGCCATGAGCATTTTTGGAGATGCATCATTTTATTGGCTAAAATAGAAAACTACTTTTATGATAAGATTTTCTTATCCTTATTGTCTTGAGGGAAATATCGTAATAGCTAATATTTATTAAGTGCTTTGGGTTACACTGTATGAGTAACATCTTTCGTGTGCATTCTTTCATTTAATCCCCACAGTAAACCTATGAGGTTAGAGTTTATACTATCTTCATTTAAAGACGAGGAACCTGAGGCTCAGGAAAGTTAAATAACATATTTGGTAGGTGTTGGGGTTATGATCCAATCCCAGTGCTGTGTTGGAATCCAGTGCAGATTCTGATTCAGGAGATGTGGGGTGGAGCCTGAGTTCTACATTTCTAATAATCCCCCGGGAGTGTTGATGCTACTGGCCCAGGGACCATACTTTGAGTAGTAAGGGTCTAATCCACTACACAATGGTTCCCATTCTTGAGTATTTTATGGACTCTTTGTATAGGAAAAAGTGGTGGACCCCCAGCAATACCTTTGAGGACCTCACGTGCAGAAACCACAATGATAAAGTAGATTCTAATTCTATTAAACTGTCTTTCAATTAGGAGATATCACACAAAAGTCCAGTTTTATTTTTATAACAGGTAAAAATTTTTTAGATTACATTTTAGATGAAAATATAAAATATTTGTATAACTCATGAACTTCAAGATAAACTCCACGTACACTTGGGATGTTTAGGAAACCCAAACTGAGAGACAGTACACTGCGTGTTTCACGGCAGTTTGTAAATCAGTTGCACTGAATAATCCACATTTATGAAGTAGCTCTTCTCCCAGTTTCCCAGGTTGTTGGTACATTAGTGAAAGAAAGACTATTATTTAGAAAACCTTCCATAGATTGTGATTGTTTCCCAGCAGTTATATTGGATTACTTTCAAAACAAATTTATATAATCTTCATTTCACATGCTTCCTTTCATCAGTATATAAATAGACACCACTACAGAGAGGACTAGAAGGTAAGCCTTTCCATTTTTGATATCCTGTTCAGAATGTGTTATTCACAGAAAATTCTAAGAAAAAAGTTCTTATGCCTTTACTGATTTGTTAGGTTAGAGACCATGGCACTCTCCCAGTGAGGGATGCAGCTTGATTGCTGATAGACAGGTCGGTACCCTAACTTATTTAATTGATATTTTGACTCAAGTGACTGGTTCATTCAGTGAGAATGTTTACTTGAGGAAAAGAACCCGGGGAGGGAGAGAGAGAAAGCAGCCCTGAGATGCTGTAGGAGTGTGCACGTCTCAATCTTTTTTACTCATGCCCTCACTGGCCTCACTGACCTCTTTGGAAAGAAGGGGTAATTGGTCTCTAGCAGACACAGTCAGTGCCCCCAAAGCCCTCTTGGATCTCTTACATTGTCATGAACACCAGCTAGCGGTGGGTTTCTCTCCCACCACACAGCACCTGTGTCTCTGAATCTACATTCTCCCAACCCCAACTGCCCAGCTCTGAATCAGTGATTGACAGGTGTGGTGTCTAACTACTCTGGCTCCATTGCCCAATCCGGACAGCCCTCAGGAGTATGCTACATCTATACTTTAGTGTGCATCAGAATCCCAGGAGGGCTTGTTAAAATATGACATGCTGGGCTCCACCCCAATTTCTCATTCAGCGGGTCTGGTGTGGGGTCTGAGAATTTATCCTTGTAACAAATTCCCAGATGATGTTGCTGCTGTTGGTCTGGGGACCACACTTTGAGAATCACTGACCTACGCCATCTCCAGAGTTCCCCAGAGGGATTGAACCAGTGCCCTATATAATAGGACTTTGCTTGGATGGCACCCTTGTTTGACTTCCTCTCCTTCCCTTCCCTGTCCTGCTGCTCACATCCCTCCACACCCCCACCAGCCATGGAACCCTTCCACACAAATTCTAGTTTGGGAGCCCAAACTATGACAAGGGCTCACCTCATAGAGGTGTTCTGAAGATCAAATAAGTTAGCTTTCATTATCAAAACTTACTCTCCTCCTCTTTGAAAATCACCCATCTTGCACACGTTCATACCACCCAAGATGATTCCATTATCTTTCACATAGGTTATATTATAAATCAACATGTAATTTGTACTTTTCCAAATAAAAATGTTACATTTATATTTCAAGCTACCTTTATAATAAAGTATTATATATATTTATATATAAATATAAATGTTTTAAATATATTTGTATGTACCAAATTTCCTCTTCCTGCAGGCGTGACATGTCTTCCCAGGGGAGCCCCAGCCCCTGTTGGGCATCCCTGCAGCAGAATAGCTGAGTCATGGGCAGAACAGCGCCCCCTTGGTCAGTATGCTGCAGTGCGTGCCTGGACAGGAAAGAGTGTTTAGCTCGAACGAATTTCCCTGGAGGCAGGGCGATAAGGTGGGTAGTCAGTCGCTGCCTTTTCTCCAGTGGCAGGAAACTGGCACACCATGGGCATGGCAAGGTTTGGCCTGTCTGGATCTTTGTGTTTTGGAGAGAACATTACTCAGAACCTGGGACCATCTTTGAACACTCAGCACCTATTTATTTGTTGATATCTGGATAGTAAGGCTATATTCTGTAATAGGGAAAAGCGTGGGCTCTGCCATCAGATTGCCTAGAGCAGAATCCTGCCTTTTCCACCCACTTGTTTTGGGACCTTGGGCAACTTGACAACTGTTCTAAATCTCCACTTCCTCATCTGTAAAATGGAGATAATACTAATCCTCTCGTCTGTAAAATGGTAACATAAGGGGGTTTTTGTTTTGTTTTGTTTTTCACCTCATTCATCCACATAGAGAGATGAGTACGTTCTCTGGCAGGGAGTAAGAAGGCAGTAATGTTATCACTATTGTTTTTGTTATTTTCATCGTTGTTATTGTTGGTTTTGTTGCTCTTATGAGGAGGAATTGGGTGCTGATCATTAGGTAGTGGGATGGCTACAAATCTAAACTATGAATCCCAGCATTGAAATGAATGTCTAAATCCTGGGGAGCTGAAGTATAACTTGAGTAGTCAGACAAGAAACGGCTGAAGGAACTGCTGGATGTGGCCCCTGTGGAGTAGCCTGCCCTGAGGCTGCAAATTGGAACCCCATGTGACCAAGGTCAGGGCCCTCTGTCAGTTCCATCCCACAGCAGGTTCATGTTGGCGTCCCCATGTCTTAGCCCAGCTCTGCACGGATGAGCTTCCTGCTAAGTGATATTTACCAACTCACCAGGCTTTATTGGATGATAAATGCATCACCAATTGAGGACTGTTTGCAATTTGTGAACCAAGCTGCTGTAGCAGGCATGACTCTACCCATAATCCCACAGGTGGAAGAAAGACTGTGTTTCTTTATTTTGTTAAATCTTTGCTTAAGTTTTCTCATCCTGCCAGAGTGGGTCCAATTTTAACCTTGGCTGGGATGGGGACACTTTTCTTCTCTGTATTCCCTGCCCCCGCCCTCCACCAAGGGTGCTCTGCAAAGCCCTCTTGGGTTTCACATGGCCCCAAAGAAACTTTGGGGTATCATTCCACCTCACTGCATGACCTTCTCGGGCTTGGGGCACTGGGTCGGGGCAGAGGTGCAACCTGCATGGCTAGCTTCTAGCCTGCTCAAGCACATGAGAGTGGTCCCCTCTCAGGTCTTGGTGCTCCCAGAGTGCTACCACGATTGGGCCTTAGGTCCTGGTTACTCAGAGCATTCCCAACATTTCTCCTCTTTTCCAGCTTCCCTGAGAAATGCCTCCCTCTTCCCTCTCATGACATTAAAAGGCACTCCTTTCTCTCCACTAGCTCCAGAAAATCCATAATAATCATTTCAGTGACTTTGGGATACAAGGTGGGAATTGCTGCTGAATTCAGAGCTCTCCAGAGACAAGGAAGCTCAAAGTCTAGCTTTCTGTTTGAAATGAGAATCATAAAAATATAGGAAGAACCTACAGAATTATCCTAGAATTTTTCATCACATTGGGTAGTTTCATTCATTTGCTTGATTTATTGAGCATCCGCCGGCAACGCATTGGGCTCTAGGGACACAGGAGCGAACCAGACACAAATCCTGCCATCAGGGACCGCGTAGAAGCCCAACGGCAGGACACCTTGAACTGTGTCCAAATCCCACAGGTGCTGGAGACCAGAGCCAGCTGCCGCTGCCAACTTGGCCATGTTATTACTTAACGTTGGTGAAACTGATGGTCGCTATCATTTCCTTAGGTGCCACTTGTGGAGGCAAAGCTTGTGAAGACAACCATTTGGAAAGCCACAACAGGTTGTTATCAGGACTTTATTTTGAAAGGTGCCACTGACTGATTTTCACTGTCTCTTGGCAGGAGTCCAGTTTTTCTTAGCGTTTTCTTAGAGGAGCTAGATGATTGAGGCCAATTATTAACCAACATTTTCTTTCTCACTCAGAGACCCCTGAAACACTTGTTAATGGTACTTAATTAGGTTTGAATGATTTTTTTGCCCTTACTGGCTCATCCAGGAGAGTTTTGTTTCTCCAGTGAGAGTCCGAGCTTCTTGAGAGCACAGAGCACATTGTTTCCTTGAGTCACTCTTACGTGAACGCTTAAGGAGTGTAACTACTTACATTTGTTTGCGAGTTAAACTTTGGGTGATTGCATTTTTTATACCCTTCCATGTATAGTATCCCATGCCATGTATGTTACATTTACCTCCCTTGATCAATATTTCCTGTTTTGGCTGTTTATACCTAAATTGCCTTTCTGCGCCTGAATGATAGTTTCATTTTGTTTTTCAGTAACCATTCAAGGAAATGTATAAGGAAGTAAGTTCGCACAATTGGCATGCAGTAGATGGCTTGGCTGTGTTTCTTAAGTGGGAAAGCAGAAGAAAGAGAGGTAAGAAACAGACCAGTGACAATCCTCAGCTTGTCATTTCCTATTTATTTGTAGCCCAAATAACACACGGTTTATTTGTAGCACACAATTGATATGTGCTTGAGAATTAATGAAGGAAAACAGACATGCAGTCTACTACAGACTGCAGGAATATGGGCTTTGGGACACTATGGACCTGACTAGGAGTCTCTATTCTGCCCCTTCCTTGTGGGATCATCTTAGGCTGGTCACTTTACCTATCTGGTCCTCAGTTTCCTCATCTCTGACCTGGGGATATTTTACTCTCTACTTCAGAGGGTTGTCAGGAGGATGAAACAAGATAACGCATGGAAAGTGTCTAGTATTCAATCACTATTAGTTATTATTACCTATGAGAATATCTTTCTACCACCTCCCAGGCATTACACAAAGTTCCCGTAGCAAAGTTATGGAGTGTTAGAACACTCAACATGGACCTGATGTCAGGGCACATAAGGGGACATTTAAACCAGCTGATTAAAAGAAAAAAGAACTTAGCTAATATGCATAATATTAACCTTTCTGCCCTTCTCTTCTCTTGCCGTGATATATTCAGGTAAAGTAGAGGAGCTTGTCCTCTAACTCTCTTCCGTGTATTTTTCACTATCCTGTTGAGTATTTTGTGACTTCTTCAAGAATGTTCCACCTTACTTATGATGGTTAATTTTACGCGTCAACTTGGCTAGGCCACAGTACTGAGATATTTGGTCAGATGTTGCCATGAAGGTATTTTTTCAATGAAATTAACATGCAAATCAGTAAACATTGAGTAGAACAAACTACCCTCCACAATGCAGGTGGGCCTTACTCAATCAGTTGAAGGTCTTAAGAGAACAAAAGACTGATCTCCTCTGGGGGAATTCTGCCTCCAGACTGCCTTTGACTCAGGCTGCAACATCAGTGCTTCCCTGGATCTCCAACTAGTCTTGACTACCTTGCAGATTTTGGACTTGCCAGCCCCCAAAATGGCAGGAGCCAATTTCTTAGAATAAATCTCTCTCCATATACGTTCCATTGGTTCTGTTCCTTTGGAGAACCCTGACTAATACACCACTACCTCCACTTCTACCTATTTTTCAGTCAGATCCCAACAAGGTTAGGCAGGCTTTTTATATCTCGATAGGACAAGGGAGAAGATGGAGCAAGAGTGTGCCTGTATTCCCCCTGCCCCAATAGGGCGTTATACCCGCACGCATGCAGCTGAATCTTTGCTTTGCTTTCAGAGCTGTGTGTGATGCTCAATCATCCAAGATGACAGATCCTCAAGGGAAGATGAAGTTCAGCACACTTTCCTTAAACAGGCATTCCAGTAAGAATTTCAACAACAAAGGTCGGAGCGAGAAGCTTTTCTGGTTAATTACATTAACCAGAATGTGTCATTCCTGAAGCAATCTGGTTAATCCATCCCTTAATGTATTTTGAAAAATTTCACAAGAGACTTTAAGAATGTTTAAAGGAAATTCTAATTTTGAAAGCACAAAAGCTAAGCAACAAACGCAAGTTTTTCAATATGACCATATTTATTCAATCTTCTACAAATCTGGTCAATTTCTTCCATTTCAGATTTTACTCTAATAGCACTAATTTATCACTTGCTTTTAAGACTAATTTTCCAACTGGTTTTCTCCAGAAATGATTTAAACTACACTGGAATGACTTACATTTCAAGGTGTGTAATTGTTTAATATTTCCTTCAGAGGCAACATTTGAGCTTGGGTAAGCTCCTTGAAATGTTATGCCTTTTAAATATCCAACAAGCACCTCCTTGGGTTTCACACAGTGTAGTTAGCACTTTGACTAACATAGGTCCTTTAAAAATTTATGTTTTCTTTTTTTGAGGACTATTACCCGTGAGCTAACATCTGCTGCCCATCCTCCCCTTTTTGCTGAGGAAGACCGGCCCTGAGCTAACATCTGTGCCCATCCTCCTCTACTTTATATGTAGGATGCCTACCACAGGATGGCTTTCCAAGTGGTGCCGTGTCCGCACCTGGGATCTGAACCAGCGAACCCCGGGCTGCCGAAGCCAAATGTGCGAACTTAACTGCTGCGCCCCTGGGCCGACCCAAAAAAATTCTGTATTTTTGACGTCTAACGTATTAAAATAGGACTCGTTTGACATTAAGTTAATGTAGCTTAATAGGATATGATATTTGCTGAGAAAAAAAGAGAAATCTTGTCCATCTTTTAATTTCTTGTTGAGCTGTGCGTGGAGTTTCAGTAAAAGACTTTGAAATTTACTTGGAGAAAAAAATACTCTCTTGCAGTCTGCATTTATTTTCAGGAAGGTTGCTGGAGCATTGCTGAATTTAGTGGCCCATCACAACTACTCTTACTTATTATTGACTTTCATCAGCGCTTTCTGCATGGGCTCTCTTAGGAATGTGTCTTCAGATTTTAGATGCAAATGGGATGAAGCTACTATCTGCTTGACTGGTGGCTATGTGTAGAGTTGAAAGAAATGCTGGCTGGGGCGTGTTATAATTACGAAGGTGGCCGTGGTGGAAAGCCAGTAGAGGAGTGAGGAAGATGATGTCCCAGGCTGAACAGAAACAGCTCAGAGAGGTGTTACTCGAGGGCACGTAGGTTCTCCTAGGAAATAGCACTAAGATCAAGAAGCAACAGACAATGCTGCACTTCTGACAGAGCAAAGATATATACTTTGCATTCCCATTCCTCCAGGATTATTTTTTTAGGGTAAAATGCTTTTATGGAAGCCTTGAGGCTAAATACAAAACAAACTACAGTTCCCATGCATCTCTGTTCCAGACAGCCTCGCCAATCCCCCTTGGCAGTAAAAGCACTGATTTTCCCTAGCACTTGGCTCCGTGAAGGAGTGAGGTAAAACTGGCGAGGACAAGAGAGATATTAAAATCTTGTGCCGCTGTGAAGGATTATGGAGAGAAAAATTTTATGTTGAGGTTTTCTAAGTCGTAACGTGTTGAGTATAAACAAGAAAAGAGTTCGCTCTTCCAACAGACACTGAACTTGACACACGCTACTTGGCTTCCCTTTAAAAACTAGTTCAAACTGGAGGCACTAATTAATTAAAACACTCACAGAGATCTTTTATTTGCTTCACATATTTGAATTTATTTCCCCTCTCTTAACAAGGAAGTAAAAAATAGTTTTTGGCTAAGGGGAAAAAATGTGTTTTGGGCTAAATATGCTTGGTTATACCTCATCGTCTGCTTTGCAAAAACATTGTAGTTGTAATTTTCATATGTAATGAGTAATCCGTTCTTAGGGAAAAGTGTTTTGATGTTGGGAATGGAAAATTAAGAGAGTCCCTGGTAAGTCAAAACTTTGTGTTCATTTCATATTAGATAGGACTTTTTTTCTCATTATTTTTCCCCACTACTTTCTTCTGTTAAATTCTGAAACTCTAAATTTCTAGTTCTACTTTCAGGATTCAGATGATATGTGGTGCTTAAGACTTGCACCTTTCTCAAATCAAACAATCTTAGTTTCTATCCTTAAAATTTACAGTTTGTTATTTTAAAAAATATTGCATTAAAACACTGTTTATCCTGATACTGAGTTTTTGGTACCCCTTTAAATTTTGCACCTGGGACAAGCACCTCGCTTGCCTCACCCGAGTCCTGTTATGTCTCTGCTTGTCAACAGCCTTTGAGAAGAAAGTTCCATCTGATGAATGGGGGTATTTATTCACCAACTACTGTCCTCGTTGGATGAGACGTTCCCCCTGGAGGTGTTAAATTCCTGGCATTTCTGAACGCCTTGCTGAAAGGCTATGTAAGCTCCCCTGGTGTGGGAGAAAACTCCCAGGCAGAGAAGGAGAGAGGTTGGGCAGGTAAGATGGGAAGATGTCAGCATGTGGGCAGACTGGGCACTGCAGCAGGGGTGGACCAAGAGGATGCGGAGCAACGGGCAGTAGCATGAGGAGACAGAGCGGCCAATATCTAGATGCATTGTCTCATTTAATCTTCCCAGTAATGCCATGAGGTAGGTACTAGTGAGAGTTGGGACTAGGGTAAGGTGAGTGATTGCCAAAAAAACTCAGTAATCAAGATAAATAATATTTTAATGCAATACTTAAAAAACTCGAAATTAATGAAAAACATTATGCTAAACAAAATGCCAGCATTTAAAATAAAGACAGAATCCAACCCTGCTCTTGCATGACCCTGCTTCCCTCACCTCACCCTAACGCTGGCCCTGGTTCCAATAAAACTTTATTTACAAAAAACAGTGGCTGTCAATTGCCAATTCAATTTCTTAAAACATGGCATTAAAATAAGATGTATCTTCACTGCTGAGTTTTTGGTGCCTTCTTAAATTTTGCTCCTGAGGCTAGTGCATCACTTGCTATACTCCACTCCCAGCCTAGATACTGATATTATCTCCATCTTCCAGATGAAGAAGCTGAGGCTCAGAAACCTGAAGCAGATTGCTCCAAGTCACATAGGTGACCCCAGATGACTCCAGAGTGAGCGCTGTCAACCACCAATGCAGACCTCTCTCCCAATCACTGCCCTTTTGGTAGCTGTGTCAAGAAAGCGTAGAAGTGGTGCACAGTTTCTCACTTCTGGTCACCCTCCTAAACTTTCTCCTGCTTTTGGTAAATTTGTGGTTAGTCCGTGCATAACTTGGCTGGAAAAAGTATGGCAGAGTTAAAATGATAAAGAAGTTCTAACCGGCTGCTTATCACACTCCATGTAGATGCAGCAAACTGAAAACTTGCCAATTATACAAAGGTTTATTGACATGTTGCAGCTGCATGTGTTTATTTCACAACTGGGGAGTAAAACCTGGGACTCTGTGTGTGCTGTAAAAAGAAAAGTTGGACATTTTCTAATTTTTCAATACCTAATAATTATACAAGAATGTACCTGATTTTTCCATTAGTTAAATGGAGTTGCCAAAAAGAACTAATGAATATTGCATGGTTGAGTTCTGTCACTTTTTAAAAGAGGGACTGGACATGAAATCATTTCTTTTAATACAGAGACAAAGACAAGTGACTCCGGAATTTAATGAAAGTGCCAGATTGGAAAGCTTGCTTCCGCTGCCTCGCCTCCTCTCCACATGGATTTGCAGAAGGCTCTCAATATGGGTTTGTGGATTGATTGACAGCTGAACTGATGGTCTGTTGGGCACAGAGCTTTAGGATACACAGCCGGTAAATTGTACCGGTTGGTACAAAGCACCTTATAACATACCCAGCTCTTTTGTTTTGGGTCTTCACAAATGATATAAGTATGAGCCAGGTTTTTTTCCTACTGAAAACATCAAAGATGTTGCCATGAAATTCCAGCAGACTTGGCAAGAACTCCTCTGGTTTGGCTGTTTTCATGGCAAGACTTGCTATTGATGGTCACCAACTCTTACTCATTATGACTATGTCATGCCTTTGTTTTCCCAATGATGGGTGTGAAAACATTTCCCTCTTGATATTCAGGGAGTGACATTTTTATGCTGCCCATTTGGATAGGCATTTATTTGCTACTCTGCTTAAAATAATTCTACAGGCTCAAAAGACAGCTGCTTTTGTTATGTCTTGTCTGGAGATACCAAAGTGGACAGATGTCCACTGGATGACCACAGGTTGTGTTTAAGATCCAGCTTCTGAGAAGTAGGACAGCTTACAGTCATTATCCATTGAGTTCCTAAAATTAATTTGAAATGTTGGCCATTAAAGGGACAGAGAATAAAAGAATTCTAATGCATTTTAGGAGCATACAATTAGAATGGTGTAGTTTGATTGACAGCAGTCTAATGTTATTAGCAATTCTTATCTAGTTAAAAAAGGGAGGGGACCCTGTTTCTTCGAAGTCACAATCTTCATTTTTGTACTTTGTAAATTATTAACCATTCTATTAGAAAAATAATGAGGAGCTGCAGATTAAATGACAAAGGCATAGTTAGTAAAAAACGCCTTTTGATAATTTTGACCTTGGAAATGTGATGGTATGGATTAGAAATAGACTGGTTGGTTCCTCATCTTAGTTCTTTTTACTGCAACATGAGGTAGGCCTGACACTAAACTCAATACAAAAACAGTAAGCCTATTCCATAGCCTAGAATTAAGGACATTATAAATGTATGGGAAGTGTCAGATTCAATTTAATTATCTGCTGAATGACTACTGTGGGAAGAATATTGTGCTGTGATCTTGAGAACAAAGGAAATATAAGAGCTGATGATTGCCAATGGGGAGCTTACGGTCTGTCTAGGGAAACAGAAGTATATTGTAGATGTGCAGTGCTCTATGGCTGCAATATATATGGGTAAAACAAAGTGCTAAATTGTATACTGAAGATAAGTTGAGAATAATGGTATTTTTTAAAAGGTGCTAATTGTGATAATCACTAATTAATGGAGTTTAAATGGAAAGAGTAATAGTAGCCATTCAAGAAATATGAAATATGATATGATATGCTTGCCATGTGTAGGGCACTTGTTACTTACCTTATGGCAATTCCTTGTCTGTCTCCCTTTCAGCTATCTTTTATCTCTGGCCATTAAATGTTGGAGTTCCTCAAGACTCAGTCCTGAGTCATTTCCTTTCCTCAGTCTTTACTTTTTCCATCTGGAAAATCTCATCCATGTCCATGGCTTCAATAACCAATGACCTCTAATAAGCAGATGTTTCATAAAATTTACATTTTCAGCCCAGATTGCTCCTCTAGCTCCAGACCCATATGCCCAGCTGCTTCATGGATATTGCTTCTTGGATATCTCAAAGGATAAAAACGCGCGTACGCTAAACGGGGGGTTATGATTTAGTTTCCTTCCAAATTTAGTCTGCTTCTAATGTTTTCTAGCTTGGGAAATGGCCCCAACATCTATCTGACTTATTCAAGGCAGATGCAAGCCAGAAACTGGAGGTCACTGCTGATGCTGCCATCCTTTCACTATGCTGTCCAATTTGTTATTAAGGCCTGTCAATTTTACCTCCTATATATCTTGCAAATCTGACCACTTGTCTCCATTGTACTGCAGTCTATGTCCTGTTCCTTTGTTACTTACTCTCATCATGTTTCTTCCTTTCATAACACCTAGTCGATAGTTGGTAGGCAGTTGTATCAGGCACAGCTAGTTGCCTGCTTATCATTCATTTCCACCTTTCCCTTAGTAACAAAACCTGAATTTTGTTCAGGTATCTGCCCCTCCTCATGTGACTTAAGAGAGAATGGCCTTATTTCCATCTCACAGTAAATCTCCTTGCCAATGATTAGTTAAGGGGTGGGCGTATAACCAAGCTTGGGACTATGAAACAAAAGATGTGTGCCAGGTGGCTGTGGGGATAGTATTTCTTGCTGTTAAGAAGAAGATTCAGAAGGAAACAGTCCATTTTCTGCCTCTGCTCATCAGAATGAGCTACCTGGAACACTTCAGTCATCCTGCTGCCAGCCTGTGGATGGAGACCACAGAAAGAGGTGGGCAGCCCTGAGACAACTGCAAGCAAGTGGAGTCACCTTCCTGCCCAACTTCCCATGACAGGTAGCAAATGTCCGTACTGTTTTTGCCAATCTGAGGTGAAGATTTTCTATTACTTGAAGCTGGAGCTATCTTAATGGACACAATTTCATCCTCAACTGTGTGATCATTTGATTAATAAAAAGATCAGCCATCCTCACCTCCCAGCTGAATTCTATCTATGTCTGATTTGCTCACTGTTGGATCCTCTGTATGGAGGATCACGTCTGTACATATAGGAATTCAGGGAATATTTGATGAATGAACGAATGCCCTAGTCATGCAAATGGTAGATGCACATATAACAAGAAGAGTAATGACACAAAATGATGTTTGCTCAATGCTAATGACTGAGAGGAGGAGCCTGAAAGAGGAGTAAACCAATGGTGGTCTGGTTGGCTGCAATGATCTTCATAGGGGAGCTAAGCTCTGAGGCAATCTTTCAGTACTGGCCGGATGTGGACAGAAAGACAGATGAAAATGGCGGTAGCAGGTACCAGGCGAGGGTACACAAGGAAGGGATCCAAGGGCAAGAGAGTAGAGTAGGATTGAGCATATTTTGATCAGCGCCTCAGCTCAAAATTTAGAAGACCTTGTGAACTGATGACAGATGTTCCTGAAAGCTGCATATAGAGCGTGGACTCTTTCAGAGAGAAATGGAGAATCCTTAAAGATTTTTGAGCAGGAGCATGGCCTGATGTTATGCATCTTGCTTCTACTTAACTCCTGGGTGGGGGTGGCTCTCATTTTACAATCTCCAATTATTGGAGAAAGAAAAGAGCCCTGTGTGTATGATTGTACAATTATACATACAATGGGTAATGTAATTAAAAAAATCTTTCATTTTAAGCTTTTAAAAGCATGTCTCTCTAGATGAAATTGAAAGAATAATTGCATACACGGTGTCTTACCTGTAGGCAGATTTCATAGTCATTCATTTTCAAATATCTGATGTCAGTAATTTAAGTAAGACTTCCAGAACATTATTCCTCTCTGCTACAATGTCGGCCACTCGATAATTTCAAATTGATTCATTGCTATACCTAACGGAAAAAATCGTTTTAAGTACTCTACCCATTTTTCCTAAGGGAAAATGCATGGGGAGCCCACCAATAGTTCTCCTGATATCATGACTGGATTTTATGTGTATTTTCCATATGTTTTCAAGGGATTTGGAGAAGAGCTTTAAACATCTTCAAATGCTGGTTGGGGAAACCCAATATCTTTGGAAGTTAAACTACTTCGTGCCTTAAAAATAGGAATTTCACAAATAATTTTTTCTGGAATGATTTATCTGGAGTAGTTACAAATGCTTGTTAATTTCTTTTTGCCAGTGTTTAGGACTTTTTAATATTTGCAATTTGGTACATACTCTTTTAGAAACACTATGTATATGTGTTTACATGTATATATATGAATATGATTATATTCCTAGCCATACTTCTTAATCAAAAAATAGTTTGAAATATAACTGTGCCTTGCTTATTTTAACTCAACTATTTCTCAGACCTTTGACTTCTTTAGCCCCAAGTAACAGAATGGGAATTTGGCTAACTTAAGGGAAAAAAAAGGAGGAGAGGGTCTCAGAATCCAGGGGGAAAGCTGAGGCCTCAGGAGGGACAAGCAACGGTGTAGAAGGGCAATAAAGGGTTCAGGGGATGTAGGGGACAGAAAATAGTGTGATCACCTGAGGACACTGAGGTAGGAATAAAGAGGCTCTGTTTGTTTTCAGTCCATTTGTCCTTTGGCTCAAGATTCAAATTTCAGGGAGAGAGAAAGGATGAGTATGAGTAGACTAGCTTGAGTCTCCTGCCCACATCTTCCCACCAAGCCTGAAGCCAGTGGGGAAGGGTCTTCCCCAAGGGAAATACAAGTGTTCTTTCTAAAGTAAAGGGGCCACCCATGGATGCAGCCCAGGTAAAAACACCAGATGTTACTCACAGCACCCCACATCTGGACTCTTTGATGTCATTTATCTCCAAACTTGTTTCTACCAAATTCAGCCTCCACATTGGCTGCCAGAGTGATCCCCATAAAACCCAAACTGGCTCTTATCCTTACTGGCCTAACACTGTTCAGTGACTCCTTAAGGCCCTGGTGATTTTTCAGTGTCACTTCTCACCTCTCTCAGCCTGGACCTGATGCTCCAGCCTCACAAATGGCTCAGAGCATCTCCCACCTTAGCTCTGCACTGCTCTCCCTGCCACATGGCATTTGAGTTCTCATCCTGTGGGTTCCTGTTTGTATGCATGTCCATCACTAGATTTACCACGTGGGGTTATAGTGATCAGCTTAAGGATCTGTTTCTTGCCGGAGAATTATATCTCATTCACTTTTGTATCTTTAGGCATTGCACAACGCTTGGATTCATTACTATTTATATTATTTCTCAATAAATTTTACTGAATGAGTAAGTGAATGAATGCGAGGTACTTTTCCTTGGTGTCCCCTATGGCAAAACCTGATGTCTGTAATAGCTACCATCTTTTTAAAAGCTAACTAACTTCTAATAGTGCTCTACTATTGTTCACCCAAGTTCCTTAAAATAAAGGACAATTTTTATTTGGGAGCCCTACTTCCACTGTGAAAGAGTCCTGTTTATTTCCATTTGCTCAGGCTTATTTCTTATGTTTCCTTGCTGTTTCAGGAGTGTGGAGATGAAGATGTACATTTTCATAGTGAGGGATATATTGCTAGGTATAGATAACTTAGATTACCACATCTATTATTCTGCTCTCTCGGTACTAGTGATTTCGTATTGCTCCTCTTCTAGAACACTTACCTCCTCTGCCTCTTTTTTTGCTACTCACAGCACATTGTAAGCTCTTGTGAATTTGTTAGCGACTATCACCCCTAAATCCTCTTAAGCCTTTTTGCTCTTTAGAAGATTCTCAGTTTATGTCTGTGCTTCATAGTATTTTTCCCAAAGTGTATTGTTTTATGTTCTTGTAAATTGAACTCATCACACTTAAACTTGTGTGCCTTCCCAAGGTCTCTAGATTATTCTGTAGTGCTGATCTATTTTTCACTGTTTATGATTTTCTGCAAATAAGAATAATGCACAATTTACTTTGTGCTTCAGACCATTAATAAAGATATTAAATAGTATGTGCTCCAGTTTTTGCCTTCTGGCACCCTTGTTTTTCCCAATTTGACTCTGGCCTGTTAACAGTTATTTTTTATTCTGTCAGGTTTTTTTATTCTTGTTAAGATATTGATATAATATTTTTTTAAACAGAAAGTAGCTTGTAACTTTTCTTAATTTCAGCACCGAGGAGCAGATAACTAAGATAAATTATGTCAAAAGACATCTTTTCATTTTTCCCTGGAATATACGTATTTTGGGGGAGTGCCAATGGATTATTATAATATTTATTGAGAGTATACTGTATTAACAATAGGAGCTAACACTTATATAGTACTTCTGTGTTCCAGAGCTATCCTAGGTATTATACATGGAATGGCTCACTTAACACTCACAACTCTATGAGGTAGGTACAGGTCTTTCCTGCATTTTACAGATGAGGAAACTGAGGCAACAGGGTCCTGGTAAAGTGCTTAAGTCACACAGCTAGTAAGTGGCAGAGCTGGGACTCAAACAGGGCTGTTTGGCTTTGGAATCTGGGCTCTTAACCATCACACTACACTGGATTCAAACAAGGCCTCCCTGAGTGAGAGATACTGAAATGAACCATACATGGGTCCTAACCCAAAATGTTTGCAACGTAACACAGGGTTTGCACATCCGCAGCCTGTGTCTCCCTCTTCCTCCTACTTACTTCTATCCTCAGCCAATCAGCAGTCAGCTTTGACCTCCTTAACATTCCTTCTCTCCCTCCCCATTACCACAATGTTGGTTCAGAATATAATTATCACATGCTGATATTCTACAGCAATCACCCAACCGTCTCCCTGATTCCATCTTGGGTCCCTAAAACTCATTCTCCACAATGAAGACTGAGTTACTTTAGGAAAACACAATCATGATCTCCTATCTTTCCTACCTAAAGCCCTGAGAGAGCTCCCAGGAAAAATTCCAATCATCAGCAGGCATCCAAGGCCCCTATCCTTCCCTTTTCCCACTTCCTCCCCTGAATTCCACACCCCATGGAATTCATTCTGTGCTCACCTGTGTCTAGCCCTTTAAAGGAACTGTTTATTTATTACCAACTACTTGTGATTCTCTTACCCCCTTCCTAGAATGTTCTGATTGGCAAGACCTGGATCATGTGCCCACACTTGGAAATGGGGCTGGGGTGGGGTTTACCTTGCACAAAATGCAGGGCCTATGAATGAAGAAAGGAGAATTTTTCCCAATGAAAATTAGGGTTCTGTTATCAGAATAAAGGAAACTGGGTGCTGGTCAAGAAAACACAGTAGACGTCCATCTTTCATCAACTATCCGAGGCATATGATAGACACTCAATAAATGACTTTATTTTATTAAGGGTGATGAGCATGTAAGAGACATCACACAGGGCTCTCTATTTGAAAGTCTCCAACTACCAAAACTGATTTATAATTTTGATTAACCTATTCTTTTGAATAATTTTGAATAACCTCTTTAACCAGTAACTTGAATTTCACTTAATATATAGATAAAGTGATCCAGGAAGAGGCTAGCTGATTGAAAATTGTTAAAATGTCTGTAAGGATGAAATTGGAATTTTCTTTGCAACAGAACATCTTCGAAGCAGTGAATTATTCATATTGAATATTACAACTCAGGAAAGATTCTTAAAATCATTCCTTAGCTGAAGTACAGGTACGGCTCCCCTGCTTATCTGCTTGAGAATTTATCATTATGATGAGACAAGTGTCATGGACCCAGAACTGTAAAATTCAGTCAGTCTGTTTTGCCCGAGTTCATCCTAACGCCGTGTGGAGGTTATCTAAATGGATGTGGTCAAGGTGCTTTGTCATTTATCATTTGAGAATGCTCACCCATCCTGGGAAGTTCTTAACTTCATTGGCAAATCAAGTGAGAACTGAAGCTCATTGAATCTATCTAACCATCCCACATTTATTCAGGATAAATTTAGGTTTGGGGATTTAAATGTCCTGCAACAATCAGTTATATGATGTACCATGGACCATTAACTAAGTTTTATCACAAACCTTGCCATCTCTAGATGTACCCTGTGTTATTACCCTTAGAAATTGTTGTGCTTTTACACAACCATTGGTTGGGCCAATATTCAAAAAAAGCCCCCCAAAACCCCAAAACTTTATTGTAATCTTTTTCTTTTTTTACCGAAATTTTCATTGCATCCTCACAATGAAGGCTGTTTGAATTCCTGTAGCACTTGTCAGCCTGCTTTTCGGTTGATGGCTGAATCAGATAGCTCCTCTGTTTTTTGGGTTTTTTTTCCTGCTTTATCTCCCCAAACCCCCCCTGTATACAGTTGTATATCCTAGTTGCATGTCCTTCCAGTTGTGGGATGTGGGACACCGCCTCAACGTGGCCTGACGAGTGGTGCCATGTCTGCGCCAGGATCCGAACCTTGGGCCGCTGCAGCGGAGCGCACAAACTTAAACACTCAGCCACGAAGCCGGCCCCTGTAATCTTGAATAATATAGAGAAAGAAGGAAAAATGTTTACGGACAAGAAAAGACATGAGCATAATGTCTAGGCTCAAGTGAGGTATTTCTATGTGGTCGATATTCTCAGACCCTTGAGCATGTCCTGAGCGATGGCTTCCTCTGTGCTGATTTCACAATGCAGCAGCATTTCTTCAGCTTTCATGAATAATCAATTGTATTGGCTGGTAAATGAGACCAACAATTGTTCTTGAAGTTATTGGCATCTCAGCTGCATCTTTTCTAGCCCAATCTAAACTCTAGATTTGAGTATCAGTGGAATATTGAGAACCCAGAAGCATCAGAGCAGGTTGGAAAGCTACCAAATGTTTTTTAAGGAATAAAGGTTGATTGCTGATCCTAGACCATATAGACATTAAAAGGCCGAAGTATTATGTGTCTATTTTTTCATAATTTGTGTAAAGGAGTGCTCTGATTATTATTGTTATGTAACAAATCACCCCCAAACTGAGTGGTGTGGAATAATCATTTTATTTCACTCTCTATTTTGTGGCTTGGGAAATAGAAAAAGAGCTTAATTGGGCAGTTCTCCTTTGAGGTCTTTCATGTGGTGACAGTCAGGTGTTGGCTGGGGCTGCAGTTATCTGGAGGTTTGACTGGGCAGGACATCCAGGATGGCTCAATCACACGGCTGCATTTGACGCTGACTCTTGGCTGGGAGCTCAGCAGTTCCATCTACCTGACTGCCTACACATGGCATCTCCAGCATGGTGGTCTCAGGGCAGTCAGATTTCTTACATGGCACTTGGCTT